AACATTATCAAGCTTGAATCATTTTTTATAACTGGTCCCAGGTCAATGAAGCGTTAACAAACAGGCAGATGTTCCATTACCATCCCCTGATTTCAGGATATTGCTGAAATCTTTGATTCATTTGTTGCAATCTTATTTTTATAGCAAGATGTCCAGCACTGATAGAGGAGAAACTCATGGTTTTAAACAGATGATTCTCTTTTTAACTGCCTATGCTTTCGGAGCTTTTGCATGTTTGCATCAGACCAGCCACACACTCCTGCACTATAGCAACTGTGTATATACATGTGTACTTTCTATAGACATGGTTTTAGCATACCACAAATATCACAGTCATGACTATGCTCTATGTCATTTGATCTGTTTTGTCGAAGTAGCTGTTCAAATCACAGTTGTTTCCTGAAGTGCCTGCAAAACTCCCCTCCAATGAGCTCCACTCTCCTGGGCAGTGCATCACCTATGCTAAGCAGGGTGGGCAGTTCTTCCTCTTCCTTTTCTTCCTGTTGCTCCAGCCCAGACTAACAATGCTCAGCCCAGAGGGGTGGAGAAGGGTCAACCCCAATGCGTTCCAGCTTCTCTTCCCTTCTTTCAATTCCCTAGCCCCTAGGATTGAACCAACTTAAAGTTGAAAGGCACTCCAAGGCCCCTTGAAGAACATAAGAAAAAATACTAATCACATATTTTGAAATATTATAGTTAAGCCTTTATACTTTGTGTGACATCATAACTACTAGACACCAAATGCAATCAAAATATTTGAGTCAAGTCGTAAAAAAAATAACTTCATGTGGATTCCTTACCGAGCTGATAAATTCTCTAGGTGTAGTGCAGTGGTATGAAAGCCCATCTTTGAGATTCTGTTAATGTTCTACACACAGTATTAGACAAAATACCATCTGTCTGTATACTACATTTTCTAATGCATGGAAAAATCAGCTTATGTCCTTTAGTGGAAACATTCATGTATTGAAGGAAAATGACATCAGGTAAACCCACTAAGACCCAAACAGGGCACTTACCTGGGGAAAATGCTTTCTTCATTGAAAACCTGTAAAAAACCCGACATTATTAACCTTGTCAAATTCTGTTAGTAAATACATAAAATCTTTTATCAGTGATCAGGATGAAAAATACCTGATAATATTTACCATTTAAAAAATCTGCATAGTTTTAAAAGATAAATACATAAATCACAGGTGACTAAAGTTTCATTTGTTACACTGCACTTATACAAACACATAGAAGTATTAAAATTTCACAAAAAGCATAAGGCACTCTAAGCCTAAGTCAACTTACCAGCTAATGATTGCAATATCTTGAGTTCATAGATCATACATTTCTTGTGTGACTGAAGGTTTGAGATCAGGTACAGTAAAGGCAAACATTCTGAAACTATAGTTACTGCTACTGAAATTAGACCAACTTTCCTACATTTTCTACAGTTCAATGCAAAAAGTCGGATTCTACATTCAAGAGCAAATACTTATCTTGCTAAGGAAATCACACTGTATGAAACATCCAATTGATATTGCTGTTGTTAAACAGAATTTGAAGTGTCAATAGCTGCAAAACCAGTATTTACTTTTCCCCCTTTGATGTTTTTTCAAAATTCTGTACTAAAATCCCAAAACCCTAAGGGTGTTTGTTCTTATTCAAAATAGCTTCGGTCTCATCAATGCGCTACCTTAATTCTTCGCATGCTCAATTTCCTTCTTAAAAAATATCTGCATTATGTGTTTTTGAAATGGATTACCAGGTAGGTGTTAGATTTGAAATGCAGTACAAAGCAGAGACCAGCAAGTAAGCTGCCTGGTAACATCCTGTCTGCTGGGAATGCCTTGGCAGACAGAAGAGTGGGCTCCAGGCTGGAACCTGCAGGGATGTCTTAGGTTACTCTTCGTCAGTGCTGAACACAAATAGTAGATTTAACATAGCTGCCATTACTTTGCTTCCCCTTGACCATCTGCCTCTGGACCTCAGTATCCCCCATCTGTTTTATGGGTGTATAAATCCTTAAGAAAAGGCATTTGGGGAGGTCACTAAGAGGATTTAGGACTTTCTAAGTTACATATAACTATCTTCTATAGATAGAATAGAAAAATATTTCCACTTTCCCTCAGGGCATGTAGACATGAAAATTGCACTGTGCCGAGTACCCTGAAGTATCCAGCTCTTATGGGAAGCCTGGGGGGGTTAGACGCCTGTCTTCTCTACCTTTTGGGAAGTATCTCTAACTTCTCCAGCAGTATTAAACTGTTTGACTTATAAACTCCATTACAGACATCCAGTGTTATCCAGGTTCATCCCACCTACACATTAAGTATCTTCATTTTCTCACGGGAGACTCCGTAAGCAAGCAGCATGAGATCCTACCATAATTTATTTAAAATATAGTGTCTTTCCCTCTGCTTTTGTCCTGGTTCTGACTGCGATAGAGTTAATTTTCCTCCTAGTAGCTGGTACAGTGCTGTGTTTTGGATTTAGCATGAGAACAATGTTGATAACACACCAATGTGTTAGTTGTTGCTAAGTAGAGCTTACACTAGCCAAGGACTTTTCAGCTTCCCATGCTCTACCAACTGAGAAGGCTGGAGGTGCACAAGAAGCTGGGAGGGGGCACAGCCAGGACAGCTGACCCCGACTGCCCAAAGGGACATTCCATACCATGGGACGTCGTGCTCAGTACATAAACTGGGGGAAGCTGGCCGGGGGGGGCCGCTGCTTGGGGACTGGCTGGGCATCGGTTGGCGGGTGGTGAGCGGTTGCATCACTTGTGTTTTCTGTGTTTTGTTCCTCTTTCTGTTTTTTGTTGTTTCCCTTTTCATTACAATTTATTATTATTTTATTTCAATTATTAAACTGTTCCCTCAACCCACAAGTTTTCTTACTTTTGCCCTTCCAATTCTCTCCCCCATCCCACCACAGGGATGGGCGGGAGGGAGCCAGCGGCTGTGTGGTGCTCTGTTGCTGGCTGGGGTTAAATCACAACAGTCCTTTTTGGCGCCCCACGTACAGTGTATGCCCTAGAAAACATCAACTTTTACTTCCTTACTTGAAGGCTGTGTCAGAAACAGCAAACTTTCCAATGCAGAACAACCCCTTCTCAGCTAGACATTCTGCTATTCCAAATACTCTGCAACTATTATAATAATTTCCAAACTTTTTTTCCACTTCACATGACCTTCAGGAATAATGTCTCTCAAAACCGTCACTACAGTTTGATATGTTCTCACAGTGCACACCTGTATTATATCCATGACAGATCTGTGCAAGGTGGTGTTTGAATCCCAAGATGATGTTGTGGAACATGGGAAAGATGGGATGGGTGGAACTGACAGAAACTGGCTGTTGCAATAGTTCATCTGCATACACATTCTTCCATTTAAAGCTTTACTTTGTCCCCTACCTATTTTCTCCTCTGACTCCATTATAATTTGAAGAAGATTTTTGCCCAGCTGGTGCATGTTTGATTAATGATTTCTTTTATCTTCTCTCATTTTATTCCTCACCAGGATGCCAGTATTTGCCCATTTAGGTGTTATGCATTTTTCTGATTCGTCATCCTTTACTTTTGTTTTCCACTAATCTGTTTGTTGCTGCTTTTTTTGTTTTCTATTCTATATTTCTCATCTTCACTTCATGATTCCCCAGAGTTGAAGCAAGTTAGAAATAAGGCATGTGTCTTCAGCCCCAGCTGGCATCAAATTATTCTTAATGGCAATCCTTAACATCCTGTAGTTCAAAGGCCCATAAGTAGTTCTAGGTGTCTTATGACTTTACTACTGTTCACGGAGCAAGGTATGTCATCGCATTATACAGTGTGCTGTATACAATATATCTGTTTTTAAGAAGAACATACTTGATGCTGATGGTACAGCTGTGCAGCACTAAACCACATAGATCTTTGTGACTGTAAACTGTCCTCTCTGAAGTTAGTCAGTATTGTTTTAGGAGTTTTCCAGAAAAAAAACTATGGAAAGAAGTTCTTTTCAACAGTGAAGTTATCTATTCAACCTGGCCACATCCAAGCATTTTGGCTTAAGAATACTGTACAAATTTGTGGTGCACTTTGCTGCAGTACGTTGGTTCTGTAAATGGTCCATCTTCCTGCTGCCCGCTCTACTGCAGACCAGCGTTTCCACGTGAAGAAATACTCTTTCCTTTTGTTGGGTTTCAGTTTTGAGAGCTGTCTGTGCTTTTGCTTTGACAATTTATGCAAAACCCTTGCATGTTTGAGCACACTTTAAGCCAGCAGCTAGCCCTTTTCTTCCATTTGACATTCACCTGCAACTGCCTTTGTCTTCAAGAATGGTCATGAGTGCACATCTACAGGCATGGACTAGCAACAAATAGAAAAAGCTACACAAGCCCAGATACAGATGCAAAATTGGACTAAAGATTGCATTGAGATCCTTTCCAGTGAGACAAAGTATTTCTGCTTTCTGCCAAGGTGGCATGAGAAGACAGTGAAGATTAGTCAGACACTTGTGAGCAGGTTAAGTTTGAAGAAAGTTCGGGCTGGCTCCTCTTTTCCATTCAGAGCAGCTTCCTCACATCTAATTGTGCTTCTCTCTGCATTTCATGTAGTACTGCTGCCACAGTTTTGAAGATGCTTTTTTCTTTTTTTCCCTCCCTATGGTTACTTAAGAAAACCCCTAGATAATTAAGTCACACCATAAATATTCATTGTTAATTTATACTTTCAGTATGGATATGTAGTACACTTGCTGAGAAAAGCTAGCTACAATAAATAAAGCTAAGGATAAATTGAGCATGCAGAACTCCTGGATTTTGCCAAGGAGCGACTTAAGTGCAAATAGGTGGTTTGAAATTCCAGTATCCACAGGTCTTCGAAAGCTAGAGTCCTCAGTAGTCTCCAAGTTCAAGGAACAAGGCTGTAATGAAAATATTTTGATACTGAGAAAAAAAAAATTCACAACACTTCAGCCAAAAAGATCAAAGTCTTGTTTGAATAAATGTTACTGCATTTTGCCTTTCAGGGACTGAACTGATCTGTCTTCCCAGAGATGATTCCTCCACCTCTCATGGGACCCTCCCTTCATGTTCATGGGTTGTGCTTCTAGAACATGAATTTTTTTACTCTAACGCTGTAGTCTGATAGCTATTAATGGCATGGTAAAGAAAGGACAGATTGTGCAACTGCAACAGTTTTTTGCAAACATTATGAACAGTCCCAGTGACTTTCAATGAGTTGCTTGTCCAAGACTTTGTAAGTTTCTAAGTTTTAACTGCTGTTTATAATCCTAGAATTATGCCATCTTGAGCTATGTCAATATGACAGAAAAAATAAACCTTTATAGCATACCTTTCCTGAATAACTAGGGAAGTGGAGTAATCTGTGGAACTCTACCATTGATTAAGGAAAACTGTGCTGGTTTTGGCTGGGATAGAGTTAATTTTCTTCACAGTCGCTAGTATGGGGCTACATTTTGGATTTGTGCTGAACACAGTGTTGATAACACAGGGATGCTTTCATTATTGCTGAGCAGTGCTGACACAGAGTCAAGGCCTTTTCTGCCTCTCACCCCACCC